ATTCTCCCAAAGCTCTTGACCTGAAGTTGGCAGCTTCCGTGCATAACTTCGCATATCGAGCCCTTTCGGACTCGTCCGAACTCGAAATTGAGTTTCGATTCTTGGTACATATTGCCAACGAAACCTACTACTAGAGCATGCTTTTATGACTAATTTTTGGGCTAGAACTATTCCTTGCGGGGCTTCAGACCTAAAACGGGAAAAAAGAATAAATAAAACGAAGAAAACTAGCAAAATTCGGGCTCATTTGGGCTCGTCCGAAGTCGAATTTGAATTCCGTTTTTTCTTACATGTCGCCAACGAAGCCTTTCTATGTAATTATGCTTTCAAATTCAACTTACTCCTTAAAACATATTATCTCAAAGCTCTTGACCTGAAGATGGCGACTTTCTTGCACGACTTCGCATATCGTGACCGTGAGGACTCGTTCGAACTCGAAATTGAGTTTCGATTCTTCTACATGTCGCCAACGAATCCTACTACTAGAGAATGCTTTTCAGACCAATTTTTGGGCTGAAACTATTCCTTAGGGGCTTCCGGCCTAAAACGGGAGAAAGGAATAAAAAAACGAAGAAGACTAGCAAAATTCAGGCTCGTTTGGGCTCGTCCGAACTCGAAATTGAATTCCATTTTTTCCTAAATGTCGCCAACGAAGCCTTCTATATAATTATGCTTTAAAATCCGACCTATTATTGAAAACCTATTATTTCAAAGCTCTTGACCTGAAGTTTGCGGCTTTCTTGCACGACTTGTCCAAACTCGAAATTGAGTTTCGATTTTTCCTACATGTTGCCAACGAATCCTACTTCTTTAGCATGCCTATACGGCAAATTTTTTAGCTGAAAATATCTATTACGGGGCTTCCGACCTAAAACGGGGAAAACAAAAAGAAAAAAAACTAGCAAAATTGTACTAATTTGAGTTTATTGGACTAATTCGAGTTCTATTACACTATAATTGACCGTTATTGGTACAATCACGGTCAATTATGTTGCAATCGAACTCGAGTTAGTCCAATCAAAGTCAAATTAGTATAATCGAACTCGAATTAGTCCAATCACGGTCAATTATAGTGTAATTGAACTAGAATTAGTCCAATCAGAGTCAAATTACTATAATCGAAGTCAAATTAGTATAATCGAAATCAAATTAGTCCAATCGAAGTCAAATTAGTACAATCGAAACCAAATTAGTACAATCGAAGTCAAATTTGTCAAATTGAAGTCAAATTAGTACAATCGAAGTCATTCTAGTCCAATCGAAGTTAAATTAGTACAATCGAAGTCAAATTACTACAATCGAAGTCAAATTAGTACAATCGAAATCAAATT